CTTTGTACAAATGTATATTAGTTACATAGTAGTTCAAATAAATAAAAGCAGGACTGCTTAAAAAAAAAAAAAAAAAATACATATTCTTTATTTCACAAATGCATACTATTTTTTTGGCTCACATATAATAAATCTCTCTATAAATGCATACCACGTGACCAGCAGCCAATCAAATCGAAATAACATATTATTAAATATAAAATATTATTTATTTTAGATAAAATTTAAAATAAAATTTTATTAAAAATTTTAAATTTTTTTAAAAAAATTATTTTAGCAAGAAAGTACATATGTAGTGCACTTATAGAGTGTGCGCCTATAAAAAGCCAAATAATCCAATTTGTTTTAAATATAAAATAAAATTTTTAGGAAAATTAAAAAATTCAACTTTGGAAGATTATTTAAAAAGCCAATATAATATTATAATTCTATAAATAAAAACTTAATTGAAACTAGTATTTGTTTATAAAGATCCATAATCTGAAAAGCAAAAAAAAAACATGATAAAAAAAATGCTTTACAAAGGTGATAGCTTGTTTGATAAAATTATATCTATATCTTGTACTGAAGATAATGTGGTATTAGTTTTTAATATTGAAGCATTTGTTCTAATATTGATATTAGTGAACTGGAATTTATCTTTAATGCTAAAAATAGTGAACTAGTGTTTATTTCTAATGTTGAAGATAGCAGCTCATTGTATAAAGAATAATCATCATACTATAATAATTATAAAATATTCATAAACTTTATAACTATAATCAGAATCTTGTTTAGAATTTATATTTAATAGTATAGTATTGAGTTTTTTTTAACTTGACCTTTATAATATATATATATATATATAAGACCTTCTAATTGCACTCTTACTGAATATACAAACTCTTTAAACATGCTTTCAAATTTTAAACTAAATATATTCTTAATCTTATAGATATATAGCCTATTGTTTTCTAAATGCATGTATTAAAAATTTGATCTCTACATTGTATTTAGAGAGGTCTAACAATATATACAATATAAAAAACAATTGTGCTAGATGTCTAAGAATCAATTTATTATAATAATTACAGGTTGAATCAATGAATATTGGGTGCATACCAGGAGCAAACTTTCCTATTAGTCTGCCATAAATCTGCCAAATACCTTACAAATATGCTGCCAACATACTGCCAATATTCAGCAGGTATTTAGCAGATCTATGGCAAACTAACAAGTACATATCAGGAAACTTGTCTCCCGATATTCATTGATTCAACCTGTAAATGCCTTTTTAAAAACCTATTATGAACCTAAAAACCTAGGTTTTAAAATTGGAACCTGGTTTTTAAAAACTAGGTTTCAAAACTCGGTTTCTAGGTTATGAACCTAGGAACTTTACACTAAACTATATAGATAATATAAAGATGCAGCTAACATATTATAATTTCAATTACACTGTATATAAACATATTACATATCACCGGTTATTAACAGGGTTATTTATATTTTCCTGGCATTATATTATCTATTTTTTTTTTAATATCATGTTATATTTTTACATTTGTACTCAAAATAAACTTGCTTAGCTTAGTATGAAACTTTACATAAAATAGTGTTTGCGTTTATTTATCCTTAAGTCAAAATGTAATTACCGTATTTTTGCATTGTTTCAAAAGCCCATGCGCGTCCGAAATGATGCGCACCTCCACATTAGGGTTTCAACAAAAAAATCGATATAGCAGACGAGTTAGGAAAACTTTATCTTTGCCTCAAAATAACGTACTCTAAATAATATCTGGACGTTATTTCGCGAAATACGGTGATTAACTTCTTCACAACTTGCGACTTGGCTCGATAAATCACAAATGGATATTACTAACGTACATATGATAACATATTTACAAATTAAATATTCAATGGATATTTTATAGTTTATTACTTAATGTAAACACTTAAACGTGTCATATTTCTCGATAAAATTTCATATACTGAATAGAAAAAATAAATATATATACAATTCATAATTCAAATAATATTATCAAAATAAATAAAAAAAATAAAAATGCAGAAATTTCATTTTATAAATCACTTTAAATTACTCAAGGTCACAACTTTTATCACTAAACCTTAGCATACTCAATATCATCATCATAATAGTCCTCTTGATAAATTATTTCACGTGTAAGCTGATCTGATTCATCAGAACTTCCTTGTTCAAATTCATTGCTATCGTAGCTTTTACTATCACTAATTTCTTGGTATTGACTTTGAGTAATAACTTCTTGATCATATTGTGATTCTCTATCTAATGATTCATTATCATGGTGTTCACCAACCTTCGTACTACGTTGAATAACTTCTTCCGGTTGTTGGTGAGTGTTACCCCTGGACTGATTATCGTTATCATAATCATCATAATCAAATACGTTATAATTTTGTTCGATATCAGATGGTTCATCAGAAGAATATCCAAAGTCACGATCATCAATAACGTTGTATTTACGTAATAAATAAAATATCACTGGAAATATTTTATGATTTATATCCGATGCCCATATAAAGTCTTTAAAAAAGTTTTTTTTTCAGTTAGTTTCAGCTATGATTATCATTCTTTTAAAATCGTTTTTAATAGGCCTTACCTAAATGTTCGTATTCTGAGATTTCTCTAACAAGTACAGGTTTAGGAATTTGTTCTAGCAACATAGTCATATCTGCCAAACTATCACGGCCTCCATAAAATATTGCTATTGGTGCAGTAATTTGCTGCGTTGGAAATCTCTGACAGGTTTTACCGAATGCTGTTGTATATGAATATGTGGGCAATTCGTCATACATTTGAAAATTATGAGCTCTAATAATTTGGAACCAGTGCTTAAAATATTGTAAATATAATATATACATAAATATTAGTATACTTTAATATAATTTCTAATTAAAATCATACATATTATATATAAATCTGTATATTACATACCACAACACTTTTGACACTGCTACAACTATATAAATGATAATATCCAATAGCCTTTTGAGTTTCATTAATATTTTCACAATTCCATCCAAATAAAAATTTCAATGCGAAGTCTACTATTTTAGTAAAGATAGGAGGTGGTAATATTTGTTTCCAAAATAATGCCATTGTTAACATTGCTTTACGACCAAAGAATAAATAGATTATATTTGGTGATGTTTTTATAAATGCATTTACTATAGAATTACTAAGACCTATTCGATTTAGAAAGAATAGTATTTTGATATGGAATAGATTTATGGGGAGATGAGTATTAAGGAAATTATAATTTAAAATTACTTTTGTTAGTAATTATCTGACACATATAACTTTAAACATACCGTTTAAGCGCGAAATAACGCGCAGGGAAGTAATTTCGAATTTTGACCTAAATTAAGTTTAATTCGGGCCATTATTCAAACAGCGCCCCTGCGCGTTATTTCGCGCTTATACGGTAGTCGTTACATATAAATTATAGACACACCTTTAGGGCTGGTTGCTGGAGACAGAGCAATAAATAAATTAATCTTATTGTTGATCTTTGGATTTATCGATAATGCCGCAAAGCATTGTGCGGTTCCTTGAGAAAATCCAATATATGACAAAGATGGAGCACCTGTTATTTCTAATATATACTATATAAATATCAAATTTTAGAATCATTTATTTACGATATGTAGTAAAGAACTTCAACCATATTATAAATCAAAGATATATGCGTGAACTTTTGACAAACATACATTAATAGTATCTGGCAAATCATAAATGGCCAATTCATCCATTGAATAATCCCAGAATTTACGTCCGTTTGGATCACATTTTATGTGTTTCATAGAATATTTGTTTCCTCGAGAGTTACCAAACCATACATCATAACTTGTAATTATAGTATAAGAAATTAATTTTATTATTAATTATATATAATTGTAATGAAAGAGTTTTATTGACTTACCCAGCGTCAGCCAGTAAACAGCATAATCTATTTTCATATTCATAATTACAAACCCAAAGTTCGCTACAGGTCATTAACCCATGATAAAATAATACAACAGGTTTAATACATTCACTTCTTTCGTTTAGTTCGCTGTTTGTTCCTCTACTATCCATAGATTTAGAAGAGTAAATCGAAGAAGTAGCATGTCGTTTTGACAAATTATCATCAGTAGATTTTTGAGTATTAGTCATATTTGATAGTCCAGCACTATTAGAATTTTTATCTAGATTATCATCACTATGAAATAATTCATCATTGTCTCTGTTAGGACGCCGAATTGTATTTAACGAAATACCGCATCTTCTGAATAAAGATTCTATAGATTCGTGTTGTTGCTGGGTTTCATTATCGTCGTCATTAAGAGATGTGTTAAGTATGTGAATAGGTTCGTCATCATCAGGAATGATTCTTCCGTGAGGAATGCGTTGAATTCCCAAAATGTAATTGTCTTGTGTTCTAACAATATGCTCTTCAACCGGATAACCCCTGATTGTTTTAAAATATAGTTAAAAATTGTGTGAATGATGAATAATAGTAATAGAATAATAGCAATAGAATAATAGTAAGAGAATAATAGTAAGAGATAATAGTAAGATAATAGTAAGAGAATAATAATAGTATGGATGAAAATTAATTACCAATAATTAACTAATTCTTTGAAACTTTCAAATCCTTGAAGCAACTTTATAGATGCTGTTCTTTCATCTTTGTAGACTTGTGCGAACAACCTAAAATTTACATCATTTACCCAAAATTTACACATTTGATGTTTTTTCTTTGGATTAATCATTGATTACCTTTGACTCTCAGTTTGCAGACATTTTACGATAGCACTTGGTAAAAAAAATGTAACCACTCTTAGCAATTTTTCTAAAATTAAGAATATCAAACCAACAATTAAGGCTTGATACTCTGAATAATTTAGGCGGCTTACAATTGGAAACACCATCTTTTTATTTAGTATATATATAAAGTATTTAATATGCAGATATCTTTGTATTTAATCCGAAATATTAAGTCATTGCTGCATGAGGAATTGCACATAGAATTTAAAAAAAAAAGATCGTATGGGAAAGCTTATATAATCATTGTCGGTAAGATAATCATTTGTCGGTAAGACAAGTAACTCCAGAACTCTCTCAATTTACTTATTTGTGCAAATAACAAATCATATGATCACGTGGATATATTGTTTGCTGTCCCAAATCCAAATCCAAATTCTAAATCCCAATACCAAATATAATAAAATTCGTCATAAATTCCAAACCCAAGTCCCGTAACTTTGAAGGAATAATTCGCTTGCTAGTATATTATTAAAATACGCAGAAACTAGACCACAAAAAGTAATTAATTGATCTCAATTCAGCCAGATCAATTTTATGTTATTGTCAAGTCAAGGAACCTGCCAGTAATTTAATAATTACGTATTCCCTAAAAAAATCCAAACCGATAACAGTATCTTAATATATTTTTAGATTAAAATTAAAAACCGGATCACTTAAAATCTTGTATCGGTATGACTTAAAGTTGCTAATTTTTACGATTGGATAATATTAAAAGTTTTATACGTTAAGTAATTTAAATTGAATTATTAGTATGAAAAATGTCCCACCAACTATATATGATAAAAACAGAAATTTAATCTTTGATCTTAATTTGCTAAACCTTTACGTATATTATTTAATATATATATATATATATAGTTACGAAGTAATGCAAATAATAATAAAATAAATGAATATTCAACCCAAATTATTACTTTATTTATAATTGAATATACAAGTTACAAAATCGGTAAACACAACACAATTCTAATGGTATTACGCTTGGCAATTCATCATCAAAATTGGAATCAAAGAATAACGAAATTTTAGATTTTATTGATGAGATGATAATCTATTGATAATAGAGCGAATAATGCTAACAAAGTACAAAGTTACATTAATAAAAGTTGGGAGGTAGAACAATGTGGCTGGGATGAGTTAATTGGTGAGATCAGGTTCGATGAGAGGAAAGTTGTGTAAATTTGACCCAAAGCAATGTACTGTAAAGCATTATGATAGATATTATGCCCGATATTGAACCTAAATCGATAAATAGTTGGATTAAGGGATTTTTATGTTATGATGGACTATTAATCTTTTATAATTAAAATTATTAAGTAGTAGCCATTAATTATTTATATTATGGCGGTTTGCAAAAAGGTGTGATCCAGTGATTTCGTGATGATGATAGCAGAAAAATTTCCGAGATTTTAATTCCCTATTGATCATAATTTTCGATCAATAACG